CACCGACAAAGGGGGCGTCGGATTGGGGAAGGAGGGGGTTAGGCGGCTCCTCGGAAGATCTGGCGCCACATAACCCAAGGGGGGTCACGTGCTATGGAAGGGGGAGTAGGAGGAGGAGGAGGAGGAGGAGGGAGGGAGTGCCACGGCGAGTGCGCGCTGCAGCGATCGGCAGCGATCGAGGACGCCGATGTGTTAGCCGGAGACTAGGGCTCGAGAGGAGGAGGAGGAACCGCTCGCTCTCCAACCCAAATTCAAATGACCAGGCACGATGACCATCTGATCTAATTAAGCGGCATGTTAATGCAATTAAGTTAATTTGAAAATTTTAGGACAAGAATACCCGTGGACTTAATTAGGCCAATTAAATGTAAATAATTTTTAGGTTGAAAATACCCTTGGGCTTTAATAAGGCCCAATTAGTATCATCCCTTGAATCGCTCATATAATACATGTGCTCTCATGTATTGCAATGCAGGGTAAAATTTCCCACACAGGAAAACATGGAAGTTAAAATAAATGGAAAAAATAGTGAAGAAAAACAATATATGAAATCTAGCAGCACAAATGCGTGAGTTATATTGCAAATTAGTTACATTTTGGATCAGAAATCATTGGCTGTAGATGGAGGGCGACCCGGGAAGCGCTTTGGTGGTGGATGGAGAGCTACCTGGGAAGCGGAAAATTAAAAATCCTCCGGTGGTGGATGGAGAGCAACGCGGGAAGCTAAAGTAAAAATGCTCGCGTTCGACCGGGCGAGTCCTGAGAAGTGAAAAATTAAAAATCCTCCGGTGGTGGATGGAGAGCGACGCGGGAAGCTAAAGTAAAAATGCTCGAGTTCGACCGGGCGCGTCCTGAGAAGCGAAAGTAAAATCCTTCCGGTACGGTGGTGGACGGAGAGCGACCCGGGAAGCAGAAAGAAAGTAAAATCCCTCAGGTACGGTGGTGGACGGAGAGCGACCCGGGAAGCGGTAGGAGAAATCCTCCGGTGGTGGATGGAGAGGAGAGAGAGCGACCCAGGAAGAGAAAGTAGAATTCCTCGGTGATGGTGGATGGAGCCGGTCGGGACTCGATCGGGAGCGGCTGGATGGAGAGCGACCTGGGCACGTAGACTAACGACATGCATTTTCAACAAGGCAGAGCTTCAATGGTGGTCATATCGTATGTATGTGGAGCAGCGCCACAAAGGACGACAGTAGAAAGTGAGACCGCGTGTGGCATCGGAAAATCGTGTGCCTCGTCATCATCTCATCTCGTCAGTGCCTAACAATGGTGTGTTATCGGCACTAAAAGGCTCAGGCAAAAAAGGTTTCTTTTTCGAGAGGCAAAATAGGTTTCTCACGTCACTTGCTTTGGCTCGCATGAAAAAGCGCAGGAAAGGGACTACCGGTGGTGTGTCATGGGAAAGATAGGAATGAAAGGCAGTGGTGGTATATATGTATGCATGGTACTCCACTATATATGGGTTTTATCGAAGAGAGCCTCAGATAAGCTACCATCAACCTCGTCCCGCGTGCTCGCAAATAACACTCAAAGACCTACGGAACGGCGGCCGGCCGGCTTCTCATCCAACTCATCAAGGGTACTTCTCATCCAACTCATCAAGGGTACAACTTGCCTCCGGTATATGCAGGATTCCTTCCATCCTTTGCCTCTTCTCCACGGATTCATTTCACTTCCGTTATGTTTTCACATGGCAATTCTCGAGCGTTCGCTGCGAGTGTTTTTTTTTTTACCGGGGACGATCATTTGCTCGGCTACCCCTGAGTGGACGTCAGATGTACATTACGTCCATAACAATTACTAGTATGTTAGTCCATGAATTGCTTGCTCGTATTTAATGTGATTTTGCAAAAGAAAAGTACAAGTTTATTTTATACGCACTATGAACTTATCTAAGGAAACATAATTTTATTTTGTCAGTTAATAAGGGATGGATAGTTGTCTAGTTGAGCTGAGTTTCAAGGAAGACCAGTGGTAGAAAAATACTCCTTCTGTACCGAAATACTTGT